CAGTGTCCCCTCAGGAGTTCCACTGACCTGGAGTTCGATCACTCGCTATGATGTGTGCTGACCACCAGGGGGTGGCGCGGAACAAAGGAAGGCCCCGGGCTGGCGGCCAGCAGCCGCTAGGGACCATACCCATGCACTAATTTTGTGCAATGGCCCTCTAGTCTATATCTACACTAATAAAAGAGAAACATGTAAATTGGTGTCACTCCGCTACCCTTCCCATTGGCTAATCAGGGCGATATGCAAATTAACTGCCAGCCAAGATGGCGGCCAGCAGACAGGCAGCTTGAAGCGAACATGAGGCTTGCTTGCTTCAGTGACAGAGGACTCCAACGTTGCCCGCCTGCCGCTGCCCGCCTCTGAGCTTGCAGTTTGAAACATTGTTACAAATATAGAAGCTAAACAAAACCCCAGAAACCTGCTTTCAGCCAGCCGGGATCTCAGACCTGGAGTTGAAACAGTGTTTCGATTATAGAACCCAAACAAACCAGATACCTGCTTTCAGCAGGCCGAGGCCTCAAAGCTGGAGCCAAGCCTCAGAGCTAAAGTTGGCCCAGAATAAAAAAGAAAAAAAGGAGCGGTTGGGAGCTTCAGTCACCCGCCAGCCTTTAAACAGCCCTTAGCCCCTCAGCCAGACTGGCCAGGCACCCCAGTGGGGACCCCCACCCTGATCCAGGACACCCTTCAGGGCAAACCAGCCGGCCCCCACCCATGCACCAGGCCTCTATCCAATATATTAAAAGGGTAATATGCCTCCCGGCACCGGGATCAGCGTGACAGGGGGCAGCACCCAAACCCCCTGATCACCCTGCGGCTCTGTGTGTGACAGGGCGGGGCCACAACCTCCCTATCCGCCCTGCTCTGTTCGTGACAGGGGAAGGCGCCCCAACCCCCTGATCAGCCCTGCTCTGTGCCTGATAGGGGGGAGCTCCCCAACCCCCTGATTGCACTGTGGCTCTGTGTGTGACAGGGTGCAACACCCCAACCCCCTGATTGGCCCTGCTCTGTGTGTGACAGGGTGCAGCACCCCAACCCCCGCGCCCCCCCCCCCCCCACGGCCCTGCTCTGTGTGTGACAGGGGTAGAGCCATAACCTCCCCATCGGCCCTGCCCTGAGTGTGACAGGGTGCGGCGCCCCAACCCCCTGATCCGCCCTGCTCTGTGTGTGACAGGGGGCGGTGCCCCAACTCCCCTATCGGCCCTACTCTGTGCGTGACAGGGTACGGAGCCCCAACCCCCCTGATGGGCCCTGCTCTGTGAGTGACAGGGGGCAGCGCCCCAACCCCCTGATTGGCCCTGCTCTGTGCGTGACATGGGGTGGCGCTGCAACCTCCCCATCGACCCTGCCTTGAGTATGACAGGGGGCGGTGCCCCAACCCCTCAATCGGCCCTACCCTGAGGGTGACTGAGGGTGGCATCGCAACCTCCCGATCCGCCCTGCTCTGTGCATGACAGGGGGCGGCACCCCAACTCCCCAATCGGCCCTGCTCTGAGCCCAACCAGGGGCTGCACCTAGGGATTGGGCCTGCCCTCTGCCACCCGGGAGCAGGCCTAAGCCAGCAGGTCGTTATCTCCAGAGGGTTCCCAGACTGCGAAAGGGCACAGGCCGGGCTGAGGGACCCTCCCCTCCCCCCCCGAGTGCACAAATTTTTGTGCACCGGGCCTCTAGTATATATATAAAAGGCTAAGTGTCAGTCTGTCCAACCAGTAGCTATGATGCGCACTGACCACCAGGGGGCAAACACTCAATGCAGGAGCTGCCATGATGTGTACTGACTATTTAAAAATAAATGGCACCACAGACCTGGCACCAACAAATCAATATTCAGCTTCCCCAAGTGGGACACAGGCCCCACTACCACCCCAGAGTGACACCCCACCAAATCAGCACTGCCGAGACCCCGTGGTGCAAAATGCGGACCACAGCCCAGCCCGGAAACAGTGGCTGTGGGCGCCGGGTAATGACATCACGTAGCAATGCCTGGCTTCCTCTCCCTAGTGACTAACATCCTTGGAGTTTCTTCAGCCCAGGAACCCCACTTGCTTTATAGCCAGGTGCAAACACTTTACAATTTAATCAAATGTTTGTGAAGTGTTTTCCCGTGCCTCATCTCATTTGATCCTCACAGAAGTCCTGGAGTAGGTAGATAGGAACCTCGGTAGAATCCAATTTTCTTTCCATTAGCAAGATGCAAACACCGATATTAAAATATTTCTTCTAATTAATTTCCTTTCAATGTGCACAGATCCATGCACTGGGACACTAGTATAACTATAATTTTTCTTCAAAATAAATATTTTCAAGAAAATGGCAAGTTTTAACAAAATAACTTAAAATTAGCACTGCCGCCAAATACATGGTAAAAATGACTAATTCTGTAATATCATTTTTAACTCTCATTTGGTTAAAATGCACATTTTTTACTTATCATGTAAACCACTGTACTAAATTGACTTAAAAGCTTCCTCAGAAGTTTGGTGTGGATTTGATTTTTTAAAGTAGGGTATCCTGTTAAATGACACCAGCCTCACTTCCTCACACTTAACACTGATCAGATATAGGAGTGACAGCAGGAAAGACAGAAACATGAATCTCATTTCTCTGCAGACCTTGACATCTGTTAATAACCTAACAATATTTTGAGGGAAGAAAAGGAAGGGTGCAGGAAAGTTTAAATACAACAGTTTTAGTTTAGTATCACTCATTGTCAACAAAAGTGTAACTACTGATTTTAAAAAGAAGAGTTTCAAGGTCCCCACTTAAAACCAACCACAGCCCTAACCGGTTTGGCTCAGCGGATAGAGAGTTGGCCTGCGGACTGAAGGGTCCCAGGTTCGATTCCGGTCAAGGGCATGTACCTGGGTTGCGGGCACATTCCCAGTAGGGGGCGTGCAGGAGGCAGCTGAATCAATGTTTCTCTCTTATTGATGTTTCTAACTCTGTATCCCTCTCCCTCTCCCTTCCTCTCTGTAAAAAAAAAAAAAAAATCAATAAAATATATTAAAAAAAAAAAACAACCACCACAGCAGTGACTATTAAAGGCCACAGATGTTCTTAATAAAATGTTTGCCAAAATCAACAAACATCCCTAGAGGAAGACCTCACATACACACTGTCAGCTCTGCCTATATTTTAGCTACACTTATGTCAATGGCACCATCTGACATTCAAGCCAAAGAGTGTGAACTAACAAACATGGGCAGTCACTGGGGCTGCCATACACTTTTTGGGGGGTATATTTCAGTGGTTCTTATTCACCAGCTAGGAAATCAGTGAAGGATTTTGACCTTGAACATGAATGCCTCTGACCTCTATGCACAGGATGCTAAGAGACACTTTTGGTTGGGTCTCACTAAGACAACGGATGCTAGTACTTCTTATGAACTGTGAATCAACAGCATGATTACTTGAGGCAGGAAAGAGGAAGGAGAAAAGGGCCATGTGTGCCCAGCAAAAAGTAGCATAATAAGAGACTACTGACATGAAATGCTCAGCTCATCATGGTCAATTTCCTTTACCAAAGGCCATTAATCTGATTGTACTTCCATATACAGCCCACTCTTTAAAAAGACAGTATAGTTAGTATGAAGTGTGTGGACACACAAAGTGCCATCTGAGTGGGACATCAGTGGTTCAGCATATTGTCCATAAAGACAGATTTTCATCAAAACAATGTAACCCAAATCTTTCAGTCTCTCATGATTACACAGGGGTTTATTCATATGCTTGAAAAGAGTAAAAGGCAAAGTAAAGCAAAAGACAGAATTCAGAAGGGCAACTGAAAATTTCAACTCTGCACTTTCGACATTATTAAAGAGAGACACCAGTATTTTGAGAAGAAAAGCATTTACTAGCTTATTTCTAGAAGGGAAATCTGATGACCACAGCTGAATCCTACTATGGTAGGATTTAAAGTGCTCTGGTAAACAAAGGTGATTTTTTGCAATGCTGCCCTAAATGAGACCTATAACAATTTAAAATAGTTTTAGTTACATAACTAAAAGTGCTATCATCTATATATAAAAAACCCTAATATGCATAGTGTCCCCTCAGGAGTTCGACTGGGAGACCAGGAGTTCGATCGCTCGCTATGACGTGCGCTGACCACCAGGGGTGGCACAGAATGAAGGAAGGCCCTGGCTGGCAGCCAGACGGCCCCAATCGGCCCTGATCACTGGCCAGGCATAGGGAACCAACCCATGCACAAATTTCGTGCACTGGGCCTCTAGTCTGAAATAATTATTAAGAATATTAGAGGCCCAGTGCACAAAATCCATGCACTCGTAGGGTCCCTAGCGGCTGCCAGATGCCAGCCAGGGCCTCCCTCCCTTCCCCCCGGCCTGTCCCATCCCCTGGTTGAACTACCGGACAACTCCCGGTCGAGGAGACAATTTGCATCTACGCTTTTATTATATAGGATACTACCTACCCAGTTAGTAACTTTGGAAACCAGATCCTCTGGTTATTAATAAAATTAATTAATGGAGCATTAAATCAATATCTAATCCTATAATAAAGTTTATTGAGCAGAGATATTAGATATCAAATGTTAAAGAAACTATGGTAACAAAGTATAAAAATTAACATAAAAACCTTTAAAACACCTGTTATCAACCTGTGGGTCGCAACCCCTTTAGGGGTCGAATGACCATTTCACTGGGGTCGCCTAAGACCATCAGAAAACACATATATAATTACATATTGTTTTTGTGATTATGCTTTAATTATGTTCAATTTGTAACAATGAAATTGGGGGTCACCACAACACAAGGAACTGTATTAAAGGGTCGCAGCATTAGGAAGGTTGAGAACCACTGCATTAAAATATTATGACTAACTCTCTGTGACATCAATGTGACACTGTAATTAGAAGGTAAAGACTAATTTGCTTTTAACATATGCTAATGTCCTTATGCAAATAAGAGCAAAAATGTATAACAACAAAAACTTCTTAGAAAAACAACAAGTTCAAATAGGTGAGCATGATATGGAGTTTTATTTTAAAAACACACAAATTTCACCCTCTTTGGTACTTGGGTAGAGAAGCTGGAGTTGAATTTTCTTTCTACATATAGTGCTAAAAGAACTCATCTAATTTTAATCTTTGAAAAGACTTGGTTACATCTTCAGAAAATTCTCTGGGTTTCTTAAGTTTTCAGAATGTCACACTTGCACATGGGGCACGTCCTCCGGGCTAAAAGCCAGGGGTCAATGCACGCCTTGTGGAAAAAATGTTTGCAAGTTAAAATACGTACTGCATCTTGGGGTTTGTATGTGTCAAAGCAAACAACACAACTGTGTTCATTGGGATCGAGTTCCTTATCCCCTTCTCTGAGCACCCGCAGTGGAAGCTGAGCAATTGCTTTCTTCACATTTGCCTTTATCTGTCTTCGCCTCCTGGTGGAAGAATTGGGCGCTCGTGGTCTCCAGGCACAGTACAAGAAAAGGTAGGCGACTGTGGGAGCCAGGAAGGTGAACAGAGACATGACGTAATAGCTCAGCCATGGCATGTGCATTCTCCCCACTTCAATGACGATCGTCACGTAGACTCCTTTCTGAATCAAGTGCAGGAGTTCCAGTCCTTTCAAGTTGCCTATCATCACTGCAACTGTATTCCCCGTGCCATGGTGAGACATGGGAAATACTTTGTTGCCAGTACCTGGATAGTTATAGATGATCACGCCGTTGGCTCCCTTCTCTGCGGCCACATTGATTTTATGCGTAAAAGTACAGCCTCCCCGTTCAATGAGGGCCAACCAAGAGTCTTCCGGCTGAGGCCTGCTGAAGTTGGTCAGAGAATGACAAGCATTCAGATTCCATCCTTCCGGAAGTACCACCGCACCGGCCACCCTTTCCAGGGGAGAATGATTCCCGAATACTCCACTCTCTCCTAGTTCGGATATAATGCGGTTTCCCACCTGAAATGTTATATTCAGGTGGGCTGTCCAAATGGCTTTTCCTTTTGCGTCAGGGAGGCTAAGCAGGAGGAAGATGCTGAGCCTCAAGAGTCGAGATGAAACAGAACTATGAGTTGAAGGAGTAATTCTAAGCAGGCTCATTCCTCCATTTGCCTATGAACTGACACGCATGAACAACAAAACGCCAAGTATAAAAGAAAGTAAAAAAAAAAAAAAGAGCTAGCTTCAATTGTTCACAGGTGATAATTAAAGCACGTTAATGGAAAAGGTCCGCCTGGATCAAAGATATCTTGCTCCTTCCAGTATTTTTATTTTGTGTAGATAACCTTTCTGACAATGAAACAAGAGTTGTTAGCACAATGTGATTTCAAGAAAATTATGACTTCCTAATGGGTGAATTGTGACATCAGAGGTAGTTAAGCCAATCCAAGAGTTTATGTTAGTGCACTGCATACTGAAATCCTATTGGCCAAAAAGCAACTAAGCAATGACTCATGGTTTTTAACAATTTGAATAAACTCTAAAGCAATGAATAAACAGAATATTATATTTACAGTCTTGGGTTTCTTTCCTCATTCTGGATAGGTTGAAAAGCTGCCTAACCATGTTCATACTCATTGTTTTACTATCTGTCAGGGAAAGCAGCCATCACGTACCTGGCCAGTCGCTAGTTTTCTTGGATGGTATGCTACCTAAAATGCCATTCTATGGGAAGCAGGAACAAATCATTCCTAGCGTCTTCCAATAGCAAATGCTTGCGCAGGCCTAAAGACTCAACATGGGGACAGTGTAATATAAATTTACATTGTTAGCCCAATATATTGTCATCTTGCAAGGAGAATTCAGCTTCATTCACAAAAACAGCTACTGCAATTGTACTATGTGCTAGACCAGTGATGGCGAACCTATGACACGCATGTCAGAGGTGACATGCGAACTCATTTTATTGGTTGATTTTTCTTTGTTAAATGGCATTTAAATATATAAAATAAATATCAAAAATATAAATCTTTGTTTTACTATGGTTGCAAATATCAAAAAATTTCTATATGTGACAGGGCACCAGAGTTAAGTTAGGGTTTTTCAAAATGTTGACATGTCAAGCTCAAAAAGTTCGCCATGACTGTGCTAGACAAATACTAAGATGGGTCCTACATCAAAGAAGAACACAGACATACGCCTACTTTGTAGAGCGCGTTATCCAGTGAGGGCAGATTTTAAACAAATGCACAGAGAAATGCTTAAGTGCAAGTCGTGAGAAGGGCTCTGAAAAGAAAACAGAGTATCGAGAGAAAGAAGAGATGTAACAGGGAGTGAACTCTGATTAAAGAAGTCCAGGGCACTGCTCTCTAAGAAAGTGATGCTTAGCCTAAGACTTGAAACCTAAATCAGAATTGCCCAAGCAAAGAAGGAGTTAAGAAGATTTCAGGCAGGAACAACCGCTGTTTCAGGACCCCAAGATACGAAGATGGCAAGAGAAAGGATCTGAAGAAACAGAAGTTTGGCAAAGTGAGAAAGGAGAGAGCTAAGGGTGATGAGGGAGGAGAGGCAAAGGGCAGGCCATGTTCAGGGTCATGAACGTTAGAGTAAGGATTTTGGATTATGTCCCAAGGACAAGAGAAGCACTGAAGGGCTCTAAGCTGGGAAATGACATATAAGTGTCTCCAAGTGTTCACTTTTAAAGACGTGTGCTTTGACTGCCTTATGAGGAAAACGGACTGGAGGAGGAGGAGGAGAATGGACTGGTGAGATGAGCTGCAGCAGAAGAAGCGAGTAGCTCCACCTCCTGAAATATCAGTGAAGATAGAGAGACATCTTTACTTTGAAGGTTGAATTAGCAGACGAGGTAACTGGAAGAGGGTTACCACAGAGGAAGGATGACCACAGCTGTCACAATTCACTGTTACTTTAAGGTTGCGAACTACAGAATCTCCACTACTTTAAAGATGTGTTAATGCTTGTTTGACTTGATTTTAAAATTTCACGGAAGTCTGTTTCAGGGAGTCAATACATTGGCAACAAGCATTCAAACATTTATTATTTACTACATAAGACATTTCCATGTATGAGGCCTGCATATAAAACCCTGGGGATAAAAAAAGCGGGGGGGGGGGGAGATCCCCTTTCCCAGTGTGCAAATGGACACCAACATTTCAATCAGAGGCATGTGGAGATAATTCAGTCTTTTTGTTTTGTTAATTCTCACCTGGAGATATTTTCCCATTGATTCTAGATAGAGTGGAAGGGAAGGGGGGGGGAGAGGGAGAGAGGGAAAGAGGGAGAGAGGGAGAGAGGGAGAGAGGGAGAGAGGGAGAGAGGGAGAGAGAGAGAACAGACATTGACATGAGACAGACACATGGACTGGTTGCCTCCATACATGTCCCAACTGGAGAGGGGTTGATCCTGCAACCCAGGTATGTGCACTTGACTGGGAATCAAACCCAAACCCTTCCCTGTGTGGTCCGACACTCCAACCACTGAGCCATACTGACCAGGGTGAGAATTTAGGCATTTTGTAAAAACCATTTATTATACTTACCAGCCTGTAATATTTTAGTTAATACTTGCTTTTAAAAATAAAATTGGAACCAATCAACTTGCCCCATTCATACAGTTGTATTGAGACATTGTTCTGCTCACATCTGCATTGTCTTTCCATGTAGACTGTTCCCAGGTTCAAACAAAGTGTGAATTCCTGGCTTTTCCTATGAACATCTACAAAATGTAGCCTCACTCAGAAGACAATTTACATCATCATATTAAAAGCTGTTCGTTAAATCTGTGGTTATTTAACATTTGGGGTGGGATTTTTTTTAATGATGTGACTCTAACTTTACTTTTTTAGTTTGCTGAACTTTAGGGGTGAAGAGTTTAAACAGTAACTATATTTAGGCTCAAAATTGATCTGAAACCTAGAGATTCTTTGTGTAGTTGAAGAGACCAATTTGAAGAATTTATGAATTCTCTGTGTTTTTCTCACTGTAGTTAAGACAACAGTAGGTAGAACTTCCCTGCTCTCCTGCCTGAGTCTTAGGACAAATGCACCTACCTGTAAGAAGCAATCCCTTATCTCTACCACACTGGTTCCCAAGGTGGGGGGTGTGATTTTGCCTCCCAAGGGTATTTGGCTATTTCTGGACACATTTTTGGTTGTCACACGGGGGAGAACTACTGGCATCTGGTGGGTAGAGGTCAGGAATGCTGCTAAACATACTAAAATGCACATGACAGCCTGTGCAATAAATCACTATCTGGCCCACAGTGCCAATAATAAGACTAAGAAACTATTCTCCAATGGGACAGCCATGGGGGGAGGATCCATCCCAGAACTCACTGATCCCTGATGGACAATCACGCCTGAGCTCTCATCATGGAGTAAGCTTTTATACTAGTAACTGACAATGCATCCACCAAGGACGATGCCCTCAAACCACCCCCATTTCCTGTTCTCCTTGGAATAGAAACTGTGGAGCCCTCAGAAACAGTCCAGACCTGCCCATACCACCTATTAGCTCATGAAGACTGAAAACAATGCATTCATTTTATTGCACCAGATCTCAGTCTTCTATCCTGGGGCCAGACTGTTTGAGTGGGAGAGAAAGGCGGGTGCCAGCTAACAGCCACTACTCGAATCTGTTCCTTAGCAGCACTTACCCAATACACAGAACGCCTTCCTTTTCACCAGCCAGGTTTTAACTGGGCCTTCCTTCTGCTGAACTTCCCAGGCAGGCTAAGGAGGACTGGCACAGACCCCTGGGGTGGACTGATCCAGTGGGTCCAAAGTCCCTGCTCCTGCCACCTGGCCGTTTGGCCTCTTTACAGGTGTGCCCTGCTTTTCGAGAGTTCAGGTTCCGCCACTTCACTTTTACGCAGGACCTACATTAGTGAGGAGCTGTTTTCGCTAACCAAAGGAAATCCAAAGAGTTTTCACCTTTATGGAAAAAAGGTGAGCCCTGCCACATGTGGTTCAGTGGTTAAGAGTGTCGGCCAGTGCACCAAATGGCTACAGGTTTGATTCCCAGTCAAGGGCACATACCTGGGTTGCAGGTTCGATCTTCACATGGTTGGGGCACATGCAGGAGGCAACCAATCGATGTGTCTCACATCAATTTTTCTCTATTTCTTTCTCTCTCTCTCTCTCTCTCTCTCTCTCTCTCTCTCTCTTTCTCCCCCCCCCTTCCACTCTCTCTAAAAATCAATGGAAAAAATATCTTTGGGAGAGTATTAACAAAACAAAAGAAAAAAGGTGAAAAGTGAGGCCTGGCCAGGTATCTCAATTGGTTAGACGCAGTGGTTCTCAACCTTCTGGCCCTTTAAATACAGTTCCTCATGTTGTGACCCAACCATAAAATTATTTTCGTTGCTACTTCATAACTGTAATGTTGCTACTGTTATGAATCGTAATGTAAATATCTGATATGCAGGATGGTCTTAGGCGATCCCTGTGAAAGGGCCGTTTGACCGCCAAAGGGGTCGCAACCCACAGGTAGAGAACCGCTGGGTTAGAGCATCATCCCAATATGCCAAGGTTGCAGGTTTAATCTCCAGTCGGGGCACATATAAGAATCAACCAATGAATGCATTAGTTAAGTGTTAATTGATGTCTCTCTCTCCCCTCCCCCCCCCCCCGCCTCAAAAATCAATAATTTTTTTTAAGTGAAAACAGCATTCAGCATTTGTTTTGCAGCCAGTCATCATAGCTCACCGCCAGCTCCTTCCCTGGGAAACACCCTCAGCATCTCAGCATCATCCCATCATAGCTTTGTATTGTGTCTGTGAGCATCTGTGCTTTATGCTGAGTTAGTCTGTGCACCCATTAGCAAAATGTGTCCTGAGGTATCAGAAAAACTTAAAAGAGCCCATAAGGGTCTTATGTTTAGTGCAAAACAGGAAGTAATGGAGTGTATTTGCTATGATTTAGTAGGTTATTTTGGGCTCTGGGAATGCTAAAAATTTTTCCATATAAATTAATGGTAATGGCTCCTTCACTACCAGCTGTTCTCAACCTGTGGGTCGCGACCCCTTTGGGGGTCGAACGACCCTTTCACAGGGGTCGCCTAAGACCATCAGAAAACACATATATAATTACATATTGTTTTTGTGATTACTCACTATGCTTTAATTATGTTCAATTTGTAACAATGAAATTGGGGTTCACCACAACATGAGGAACTGTATTAA